AAATAGCCAATAAAGATAAAAAGGACTAAAATAGTTAATATGACAAAATATCACATTCTACACATCAATCAATCACATTTTCTCTCACAACTATTTATTCAACTACAAAAAAATTCACAAATCATCTTGAACATAACTTTTTTTCATCTTATAAAATAGCCAAAAAATCAACTAAAATAGCCAAGTTTCCAAACGAGGCCATATATATGTATACATATGAAGCTTACATCTACGGTGGGCAGTGTTATGTTTGGCTGTTAAGGCAATGGTGTATGGTGTTGGTTCTTTGGCTTAATAAGTGTACAAAGCATATAAGCTCAGTATCTGTTTGTATATATGCTTGAAAGAATTGTGCCAGTTGCATAATGAGGTGAAATGCAGGGAATGTTCTTCTCCATTGACTTAACCTTGTACGCATTATGTTGTAGTGAAATGTATTGACAAACTGCATTGCCACTGTAATTGATTTTGTGGGTCTTCTCCAATAGTTTATGAAAGGAAAACTTGAACATCTTGTTGGATTTCTGGGTCATCTTGTGGACTGCCCAATATTCTGTACAACTCAGCCTCATCATATTCATCATTGTTTTGAGACCAAAGCGTGATCTTCACTTTGATTTTCAAACATGTGGTCTAACTTGCAACTTTTATTTTGATGAAGAGACAAACCATCATTGCTGTAGTTTTTTAGAATTCCCATCTTATTAGTTTGTATTGGATTTTAGTTCAAGAATTTAGTACTGATTCTTGTTGTACATTTTATAGTAAATTTGAGAAAGAATCCTCCTCTGCATTTTAAATGGTGTTTAATATCCCTTTATGAAGTCTTGATCACTATGATGACAAAAGAAGAATTTGGGTTTTATTAAGTCTAAGCTTGAGCATCTATCTATCTGTAACTTTTAACAGGTGATGGAATGGGTGATCAGGGAGAGGCCCTACAGGCCAAAGGAATTAGACTACTCATATCTATTAGAATTCAGAACTAAGCTTCACGGGGTATCACAAGGGGAGAAACTTTTTCTTGCATCTCACCCGAATTCCAAAATGAGTTGCTATACAATAATCTTGTTATTGCATGCTTGGATAAAGGCATGATAAGTCTTTCACTTGCATCCATGAAGAAAATGAGGGAACTACGTCATCCCATTTCACACTTGATTTTCAACCGCCTCATTATCCTTCATTCTTCACCGAACCGTAGGAAAGCCATCTCAAGAATCCTTAGACAAATGAGGGCTGATAAGGTGGATCCGCATGTTTCCACATACAACATTCTGATGAAAATTGAAGCTAATTAACACAATATTGAAGGATTGGTTAAGGTATTTGGTGACATGAAGAGAGCACAAGTTGAGCCAAAAGAGATATTTTTCTGCATATTAGCAACTGCACATGCCGTGGCAAGACTGTACACCGTTTGTGAATCCTATGTTGAAGCAGTCGAGAAGTCAGCAAAAATAACTGGTCAACATTGGATGTCCTTCTATTGTATGATATTTGGTAAAGGAGAAGGAGATAGAACGAACTTGGGGTATTTTGCAAGAACTTCCTCATGTCAGGTCTAAGAGTTTTGTGGTGGCGATTGAAGCATTCGGCAGGATGGGGGGACTAAGTCATGCTGAACAGCTTTGGTTGGAAATGAAGTCAAAGAAAGGATTGAAATCAACTAAGCAATTCAATTCAATGATAGCTGTTTATAGCAGACTCGGGTTTATTACTAAAGCTACTAAGCGGTATAAAGAAATGGAGCAAAATGGATGCAAACTGAATGCAATAACATATTGACACCTTGCTCTTGGTTGCTTGAAAGAAGGATTAATGAAGGAAGCTCTAAAAACACTAGATTCGGGCAATGATTTGTCAGCAAGTACCAGGATCAGGAAATCAACCTCGTGGCTGGAGATTACTCTTTCAATAGTTGAAATTTTTGCTGAGAATGGTGACATAGAGAATGCTGAGAAGCTCTTTGAAGAATTGAAGAAAGCAAATTATACTAGGTATACTTTTGTGTACAATACCTTGATTAAGGCTTATGTCAAGGCCAAGATTTATGATCCAAATCTTTTGAAAAGGATGATTCTGGGAGGGTCTAGGCCAGATTCCAAGACCTATAGCCTCTTTAAACTTATTGAGCAGTTTCGAGCCTAATTGTGTATTGTTATGATTGGTTAAGTTGAATTTTTTCAGTTTATTGTATTTATGTTGTGTGTTGAAGAAAATGAACATGGAAGAGATGGATGAAATTAGGATATCATTCTGCAGGGGGGTTTTACAAGAAAGCTCAGATTGAGTTGCTATCCACCCTTAAAAATCTTTTTGAAGTTATAAAACCTTTGCATTCTCTCGGAACTTAAAAGCATCATTCACATCCATGTATATTACCTAGTGTACACAATTTTATTTTCTTTGTTTTTTGTTTTTAGCAATTTTATTTGCTTGTTGACACTGCATGTTTTTCTTGACAACAATCTTTTGCTGGGTACAGATGGAAGTGGCATATACATGTTCAGTTATGTTTGCCTTTCTGTGACCTGTTTGATAGGCTCAAAAGTTATGACAGTTTGTGATTGTATGTATGCAGCTAGTAAGAAGAATGAGATTGTTGTTCGCTTGATATTGCTTTATATTTGGTGAAATTTGGACACTACAACAATTTCCACTTTTAGCGACCAAATTTGGTGACTAAACTTTTTTTAGTCGCCAAAAGTTGTAGAATAGGTGACTAAAAATTACATTGGTTGCCGTTGAATATGGTTTTAGCTACTAATTTTTTTTAGTAGTAGTATCTTAATTATTGGCAACTAAAAAAGAATTAGTCGCTAAATATGGCACAGTAGGCGACTAATAATTGTTTTAGTCGGCATTAGATCATGTTATAGGCTACTAAAATTTTTATTAGTCGTGGTATACCAGTTTTTGGCTACTAAAATAAATTTAGTTGCTAAAAAGTTAGCATAATGTTTGCTATTAAACTTTGGCGACCAAAGTTTTGGTCGGCAAATATTTATTTTCAGTGACTAAAATATAAGGTAATTTTTACCTACTAAAATAATTTAGCCACCAAATAAAAAGTGTAAATTTTACTTTCATCTTTGGTGATGAAAAATTTGGTCGGTGAATATTTCTTTTCGGTGACCAAAATATGTTTAGTCGCCAAAATGGTTACTTTTGGCGACTAAAATATTAGTCGCTGCTAGTTAAATGTTTGGCTACGAAATAAATTAGTCGTTATAAATTAACTTTTGGTGACAAACAACAAGTTTAGTCGTCAAAGGTATATAAAATTTTAGAGGGAAACATCAAAAGATTGGCGCCCAGTTCTTTTCAGTATTTTTGAAAACAAGGGTTCTTCCCTTTTCTCTCTCTCTCTCTCTCTCTCTCTCTCACACACACACACACACACTCTCTCTCTCTCTCACACACACACACACATAGAGATCCAGTCACCACCAAACCTCACCTCGCTGCAGTCGCTCACCACCGTTGCTCACCATAAGTTGCACATTGCCACCGCCACTGCCACCCCCACCCCTACAAATCACACCGCCACCGCCGCAATACAAACTGGTAGGTTCTCTCTCTCTCTCTCTCTCTCTCCCCCCCCCCTTCCTCTCTCTCTCCCCCTTCCTCTATTTTCCCATTTCTCACTCTTGCTCTAGGGTTTATATGATTTATTTAGTTTACTTTCCTGTTTAGCTTGTTTTTGGTTTAATTTCTTCAAATTGCAACAAATTTGGAGTTGCATTGGTTGATTGTCTAGCTAATTTTGTAATTCTCTTTGTTTTTGTTGGGGGAAAAATTTGGGTTCAGTGAGACATTTGAGTTTATCAAGGAAAAATTTAGGGTCCCTGCGATTGTGTTTTCTACTTTGGGGGGTTTAGGAGCTGGCTCTCTCTTGTTCGGGTCCTCCCCCTAACCATATCAGCAGACTGGTTCCAATTACAGTTCACTGAACTCAATGTCTGCTAGAAATGAAAGTCAAAAGCAGTTTGGATCATATGACAATAAACAAACTCATGTCAGGGCTCAAAAGGCTGCACGTATGCCTTCTGGGGCCACTGTTGGTGCTGCTATTGTTGAAGCGGAGAATAGCCTTGAGACGGATGTATGTTTTCCTACTTTAGCAGATACATCTCAATGTAACTCTTATATTGCCATTCTTTAGGATTAATTTTCTATTGGCTAACTTTTGACTAGATATAAATTTTGCTATCTGGGATTGAAGGGTGTATTTGTCATATAATCTTTCATTGTTTACTTGTCAAAAAATAACAGAATTTTGTCACTTCTGTCATCATCATCAATCATTGTCAGTTCATCATATTAGTTACTGAATTTCAAGTTAAATTGCTACTTAATGGGTTATGTTTTCTCTATATTGGTTATCAGTATGACCTAGATCTCTTCAATATTGTTGCTATTCCAGATTTTAACATGTAAGTCTCAACATATTCAATGCTTCTCACGTATGTCATTTTCCTTAATATTTGATGTGCTTTGTGATTTTCCGCTTTTAAATTACTAATTATTTCATGTATTGGTTTCAGGGGAGCCATGGAAAACAAAAGCTTGAATGTATGCTTCGTGAATTTATTTTTGACTCTTTATTTCCATCTACCATGCATTTCATTTGATTGAAGTTTGTCTGACTTGGTTGTTGACAGATATTCAATTCCAAGCTTGTTTTGGCATCTCCAGAAACTGCTACAAATGCAGATTATGCTTCAATTTTTGGAGTTATTGGCCATGAGGTGTATCATTTGTCTCATAAGAAGCAAGAAACTTAGATATATATATATATATATATATATATTTGAGTCTTATTTCTTGTGTATGTTGTAGTATTTTCACAACTGGACTGGTAACAAGTTAGCTTACATTACTACTCTATCTCAATTATTAAAACCTTGTTACTCTTTTGTATAACTTTTTTTTTTCCTCCGATCCTTTTTTTTTTTGTTGGCCCTCTTTTTTTTTTTTTTTTTTTTTTTTGCAGAGTGACATGTCGAGATCAGGTCTGGGCACATTATTAATTACCAATGAAAATATTTGTTGGTTGATTGAGCTTGCAAGTCTCTAGTGCATTCCTTTGGTAGGAATTTTCATCTGACTTGGGGAGTCGTACAGTAAAGTGGATTGCTGATGTTTCAAGGTTTCGAAATTATCAGTTTCCATAGGTATTTCCACTCCCCTTCTACAACTTCTAGCGATGCTTTTAGTCTTTGTTCCGTAACATTAGTAGCTGATATGCTATACATAGCACATAAAAATATCTTTAATTGTTTATGGATGTAATATTCATTTACATTATAGATATAAAATATAGAAAAAATATAAATTTTTCCCTTATCTCCACCGTATCTGTATCCTATATGTGACGTACAAATTTTAAATACTATATCTAGTACCTTATTGTACGTATTCTCTTATTAGGAAATTTGATACCCACATTCAATGTTATAAACTTAGATTTAGATTAAACTTGTCCTTATGAAGTGAATTTGATATGTGGAAGCTTGTGGACTCAAAAGTTCTATTCAGAGGAAAGAATATGATCAATCAATCTTGCATGTTTTATTACCTAGTTGTTCTTCGACAATGGTTTTGTGTGATACATTTAGTTCTCTCTATTTTTTTTATTTTTTTTTTTTTTGGGAGGGGGGGGGGGGGGAAGGGAGGGGGGGTGAATAAGTCATAAATTAAAGACAAAGAATTTACAAGATTACAAGGGGCATGCCCCAGGCCCGAACGCATCAAAATCTATATACACAGCTACCAACCAACAGCAAGAACAGCTAGCCGGATAAATTAAATTACACAGCTAGAACCTGCTCAAGAAAACTGTGTAACTAAGTTACATACACAGCCACAACATACAGCTAGAACTTGCCCAAAAAACTGTGGAGCTAAGCTATATAATTAAGCTATGCAAGTCCCTATACCAAAACTAGGATATTCAAACAGGTCATGGAATAAAATGTGTTCATATGCCCTATATGATGCATATTGGGGATATGAACACATCCAAAAAATCCACAACATATAATCTCCCTTGCACAGCCTGCAGGGGTAAGCTATGGACCAAAATATATAGCAGATAATCATCCCAACAAAATAAAACACAAATATATAAAAGACAAAGCTTCCAACACTTCTTTGGCGTTTCCAGCAGCCCCTTCCAGCAGAGTGTACCCAGCTGCCTTTGATACCACCAGCAGCCTCTTGCAGCACAATGTTCCCAGTCCCTTTCAGTTTCCTTTCCAGTCTTCTGCCTCCAAGTTAGGTTAATAAAACCTGTCCAATATAGGGTATTACATAAGAACAACCTAAATAGACAAAGTTGTATAACCATAGACAGTGTTTCCATATCACATTCACAAACACAGATAATATATGCTGACTTCACTCAACCAAGGCATGATGAAGATTGCTTTGTTTATGGTTGGTAATGTAGTATTTTGAATTCTCTCTCCCCACTCTCTGTTTTCCTTTTTTTTTTCTTCTTCTTTTTTTTTTTACACAATAATATTTTGTTAGGAAAGTTGGAAGGAATGAACCCATTGCTATGAATGACATACTGGTATTAAAATGGCTGATGTTTGAGCTATATGACTTGGCTATTTCTAGGAAAAAAGTTAGGAATAACATCCGCTTGACAAATTAGAATGCATATTTTTTTATAGCATAACTATCTATTCTACCGTTGTCAGAAAAGAATAAACAAGAATCTAAAATGTTTGATTGGTTCTCTCTTCTATTGATTCGCTATAGGTGTCCAGATCTTCTGTTCTCAAATATCATAAAATTTGGCTATGGTTTACTTCTTCTTTTTTTCCTTGGTGACATTAGGAACATATTGGATAGTTAAATAAAAAAAAAAAAAAATTAAAAGCGAGGCACATGATGATAAATTGCTTGCCTTGGTTTATGTCTATGTACATACTATGTTTCCTTTGCTTTTAGAATTGTTTATTCCTCTGTTATTTTGATTCCCTGTTTTCTAAGTCTTAAGACTTGTAATTTCATTTATGATTTCCCTAAAATTGGAGCAAGGTGGTGCTTTTTTCCCATTTCCATGATATTCTTTAGTTCTTTTTAGTGCAGTACTGTACCTTTCTATGTGTAAATCTATGAAGGTGCCTTCAACTCCTAACTTTTGTTTAATTGGTTGTTCAGTTTTTGAATATTAATTAAATTTATCTAGCAGATAGTTTCCCCGATTTTTCTATGTTATATATGTTTTTTTTTCTCTCTTTTTGGTTTTGATTCTACTTTCTACTACCATATGTCATTTGCCTATCCTTGGTTAGAAAAATCCTACACTCTTGTTAGTTTACCTTCATCTAAATTTTTTTGGAACCTGCATGTCATCCATAAAATTTTATTTAGATGTTCCAATAGTGTACTAACATGCCACCTCAACTTAATGTTTCCACGATGATTTCTTACCAAGAATGTCAACCCCTTGGAACATGTATATTTAAATTGCTCTTCTGGTGAGTTGTGTTCATTTTATATGTTGACTTTGAGAAGCCTTTGAATCTTTGTTGGAGTGCTTTGTAATTGTCGTCAATGACGGAGATTTCAGGTGAGGGTGTGGGACAAGTCTTCCCAGTATGGAAGACCGATGATGCAAGAGGAAATATCAAGATAGGTGCTTGGGAAGGAGGGATATTTAAGAGGATTTGGGGTCAGCCCAAAACTCTCTTCCTCCGATTATGGATCAAATGCTACTGCACCACGAGAGGTGGAGATGCAAAGACTTTAGATCCGAGGTGGTGGAGATTACTTTTGGCATGAAACATATTACTATTGGCGTGGTATAGATTACTAGTGGATATTTCTTTTTTGTGTACGGAGGACTTGATTTTTGTATGATTCTCTGTTTGTATAGAATTATTATTTTAGGTTGGATTATATTTAGTTTGTATGGAATTTGACGTCAAAATATCAAATTTTTGGATGCTTGAAAATGAAATAGAAATAGATATATGTATTGTTTTGTTTATAGCAATAGAAATAGGTATATGTATTGTTTTGTTTATATACAGGTTGCACGAAATAAATATAGGTTGTGGAGAAATTAATAATAACTAAACGTTTAGTAGCTAAAAAAAAAGTGAATTTGTTGGCGACTAACCAATTGGTAGCCAAAAAGGAGATCAATATTTTTAGCAACTAAATATTTGGTAGCCAGAAAGAAACCAAAGATTTTTGGCGACTAAAAATTTAGAAGCCAAAAATATATGAGACTTTAGGTGACTAAATAGTTTAGTAGCTAAAAAAATAAGATGAAAATAATTTGTTTTGGTGACTAAATATTTAGTAGCCAAAAATAAATGAGGCTTTAGGTGACTAAATAGTTTAGTAGCTAAAAAATAAGATGAAAAATAATTTTTTTGGTGACTAAATATATAGTAGCTAAAAACAAATGAGAATTTGAGCGACTAAATATTTAGTAGCCAAAAATAAATGAGAATTTGGGCGACTAAATAGTTAGTAGCAAAAAATAAAATAAAAAAATGAAATAAACAATTTGGCGACTAAATTCTTTGGTCTCTAAATGTAGTATTATTGTGACTAAAACTTATCCACGACTAAAAGTTTTAGTTGCTGAAAACTAAAATTAATTTTATTTTAGAACTTTTGGTGACTAAATATTTAGTCACCAATTTATGACTTTTAGCGACAAAAAAACATTTAGTCGCCAATACCTTTCCAGACAATTAGTCAACGACCAATCTAGCGACCGAAAAATTCAGTAACTAAAAACCTTCGGCTACTAAAACTTGACCTCAAAGTGTCATTTCTTGTAGTGGGATTTATCCTTGAAATCTTTTGGACAATATTTGGATGGAGAAAAGTTCAACCATGAATTCAGATCATTTGGCCAAAATTAGAAAATTTGGCTTGATAATTCAATTGAAAAAAACATGTGTTTCTTTCATTCCTTATTTTCTTTCGTGTGTGTTGAGATGAAATTTTGGCAAAAGTAAATAAGAATTTGATAAAATTCCATTGCAAAATTTTGAAAACTCCATTATGAATTCCTCCCTATAGCTTTGCGTATTATCAATATTATTTATTTTTTAAAACAAATTTTCTACTTGCACAAAAAATCAATCATAGAATTGAACACAACTTTTCATATGGGTATAAGACTCACAAAAGAGTTGAGCCCGCCTCATATGAGAAGGTTGCGTCATGTTTTATGAGTGATTTCTACCCTAGCTGGCACTTTTCATTCAATCAACAACTAGAAATTAAGTACTTCAATAAGAAACCATGAACAAGCTGTTCAAGCCAACAAGATTGGGAATCTATGATTATGATTTTCTGTGATAAAAGTTACAAACATGTATGATATACGTAATGCTAATTTGTAATAAAAAAAAAAATTACGAATGATAAATTTATGGTGTTCATTAAAAAATAAAGGTCATACTTTTTTGTAGTGACTAAAAAATTATACTTTTTGGGATGAAAAAAATTATCATTACATAATTTATATTGAATAAAGATTGATGCCTCGAAATTGTGGTTGTTTTTATTTTTATTTTTTTCCAAAGGTGGTTATGTGTAGGGGTGGGTTTAGGGTTTAGGGGTTAGGGTTTAGGGTTTTAGGGTTTAGCATTTAGGGTTTAGTGTTTAGGGTTTAGGATTTAGGATTTTAGGGTTTAGAGTTGAGGGTTTAGGGTTTTAGGGTTTTAGGGTTTAGGGTTTTATGGTTTAGAATTTAAGGTTTAGGGTTTTATGGTTTAAGATTTATGATTTAGGGTTTATGGTACACATAACCAACCATCCTTCCAAATAAATAATTTAAAAACAAAACCCCAAACCAACACCAAAAATAAGTAAATAAACATAAACATGATTCGAGGCATTCGAGCCTCGAATCCTCGAGGCCTCTAGCACGGTTGATTTATATTAAAAAAACAAATTATGATTTAGAACTGCACGTAATAGCATCTCCTGAACAAGAATAGAAAATTGCTACAACAAATAAGTAATTCTTGCGTGACAAGATGTCCCTTCCCAAATTATTTCTTACCATCACCACCACCATCATCATCATCATCATCATCATCATCATCATCATTGTCGTCGCCATCATCATCATCTATGCTATCTATTCCATTAGATGAGTTGGTGTGAACACTTTTTTGGTCATGGTTTTTTAATTTTCCAAAAATACCCACAGTAATTGATGAAATATAAATAAAGAAAAGTCATATTGTTGTTGTTGTTTTTTTTTTTTTTTTTTTTTTTTTTTATTTTTTTTTATCAGTAAAAGAAATCTTTATTGATGGAAAAATGTACAAAGTATGAAAAAGTTTATCAATAAAGAGGAGAGTGCAAAGAGTATCACTGTGTAACACCAAAATCCCAATTAGGTTGGCACCAAAATGCACACCCAATCATCTGCTGGCACAGAACTCCAAGCTCGAAGTTGGTGAGAAACCAACAAACAGAGCAAAACAAACAAACACCTATGACCTCAAAATAAGCAACCCCAAGCATACAACTGGTAGACACCTATGACCAACAACAAACACCTAAACTCACTGCTGCATAAGCAGCCCAACTACAACCCAGATCAGACACAACTACAACCCAGAACAGCAGCAACAGCAGCAGCTGGGCCTTCACTCCAAGCATTGTTGAACCTGATTTGAGTTAAGCACTATAGCTAGAACTGAGTACTGCACCAGTGAGCACAACATCAAAACTTCATCAAGGCAGACATCAGCAACACCATCAGCATCAGCAGTGATGAGACCAGTGCAGACATCAGTAGTTCAGCACACAACACTAGCAGCAAACAACCAACCAAGCCTCTGCTACCATGAACACCGTTCAGACCAACAACCAAATCAAACCAATAACCAACCGGACAAAGAGCAGAAGACTAATTGGTAAGGCCAAGCACAACACCTGAGCACAAACCCAATATTTCACCACAGAACCAGACAACAAACCCAATCCACCACAGAACCAGACTATATCAGTAGGCAGAACAGATAAACAGAACACCACCCTGTTCAGAAGGCAGAGTTTCATCAGCTATGCAAAATGCAGACTAACACCTGCTTGAGATTATACACAATCTCATTCACTGAGTAACAAAGAGAAGGGTTAGAAGCTTAATTAGGAGAAAGACGGACATTACACCAAATAATTAGGACTGTGAGGGCAGTCAAGGTTTGAAGTTACTCTTATCAACATAATGGGGATGTTGCTATCATTTACAAACTGAGAGGTTTCAAAGGATAGTGACAAAATAAACATTTCAAAGTATTTCCTCAGAATTAGCAGAGGTTGGAGAAAAACCAATTCAATGTTCAGGTGAGATGGTTGAGGAACTCGGCAGCAGTCGCAATGGCATCCATTAGTCTCAATGGCATCCATTACAATCTTGTCTCGCTTGCTGTCGCTAGCCATGGACACCAGAGCCCCAGTTAACGCTCCTGCTAGCATTGCATTCTTCTGCAACAAGAGTATTATTATTATTATGTTTTTAGTCATTAAAACAAAAAGAGAAAAAAGAAAGAAAGAAATTATATAAGCAGAGGCATCGTAGACAATAAAAATGAAATGAACTCCTCGCTCAAACTCATGATGATAGTGACCAATGCACTGAAAAAATTAAATAAATAAAATCAAACAAACATAGACTCAAAAGGGCCATTTTCAGATCAAGAAGTACTGATCCTCATAAAGAATGGTTGAGCCTTGACATTTTTATTTTTATTTTTTCTCATTAATTAATGGCATTATATGAACAAAAAAAACTTTGTTACAACTTTGCAATCCAATTGAAAGATCGGTCTAAAAAATTTAACCTTGGCCATTTTGCCTTTCAAGGATAGGCTGCGTTATGCAAGTGAATGCATATGATAGTGGATAAAAAATGACACCGGTAGATAAAGTGAAAAAAGAAATATATATATATATGTATGCATAATTTCAGATAAATGATGTGTGTTTTTATATCTAGCTAGAGTTGAGGAAAGAAATTTCAAGGGAAGTAGGGATCCCCATCTTTATTTTTTTTTCCCTTTCCTTCTTTCTTTTAGGTCAGAAGTCAACAGTTGGCTACTCAACGGGCAACACATTTCCAGTAGCCTACTCACCAACATTCCCAAACCCTTGTGAAAATAGGAAACAAATACAGGACTCTTGTACCTAAAAAAAGAGACTTCACTAGGCTAGATAGCAATGAGATTTAAAAATATTATATATTTTTATTTTATATTTTAGAATTAATATTTAGTTAGGAATATATAAATTAGTACAGAATAATATAGATCTATTTAGTTTCTTAATTTGATTTGATACAATTTTCTTATTCTTTTTGCTTTGATTTTTATTTCTTATTTTATTAGTTTCTTGTTTTTCAAGAAGTAGAGTTATTATAAATAAGGTTGTAAGCCTTAGGACTATTCAGTTTAAATTTATATTTGATTAATAAAAATCAAGAGTTTTCTCAATATTGTTCGTTCTTAGAGAAATTATCTATGAGCAATGTTAGGTATCATGAAAAATATTTCATGAAAATGATCATAAAAGATTTTTGACTCTTAGATTAGATATACAATAAGTTACAAAGTGTAATATAAGGATGGAGATTGTCCATGATTATTTCATGAAGAATTTTTCATGATACTTAGCATTTTCCATTATCTATAGTTCGGATTTGTTCGTAGTTCGATCTTTTTCTTGTTCTTCTTTTCGATATGTTTCCCTTCATTAGTTGGTATTAGAGTGTAGGCTTGATTCTGACCATGGCACGACAAAGAGATCGTGGTGGTCAATATGATGTTGTTGAAGAGACACATGATGCAGTACGAGATGACCAAATAAAGGAGCAATTTCGATGTTTAGGGCGCCTGGAAAGGATGCTTTCAACCTTGTTGGAGTGTTTCAAGGCCATGGACATTAGAAACCGACCTCGTAACCATCAACCCAATCCACAATTTGTGGAGGAGGAGGATGTATATGATGTCA